TCATTTTAATACCTATTAAGCTATGAATTCATAGGGAACCTCCCCTGGCAGCTTAGCCATGACTGAAAGATGCAGAATTAGCTGGCTCTTCATTTAAACCCAGGCACCTTTCTCTTGGGTTTTTCTTCTTCTTCTGGTCATTTCCCTTCATCATTCAGAATGCTTTGTTGGCTCTTATAATGCTTCCCATGCTCAACCACAGCATCCTGGGTAACATTGTAGACTCTTCAGGTTGGCTCTGGTAATATCTGTAGGGCACTCCTTTTTAGAACCGTACCCATTCCTTTGATGTCACAATGTCACCTTACTTGCAGATTCATATCCACGGGGCCAAAGGACAGCTCCAGGCTTTCTAAAGTGTGTGGAGAACACATGCCAGGTGTTTGTCATCTCTGTAGGTGCCTGGAAGATGGCAGTCCCAATATAAAGTCTCATGGTTTCCTATTAGACAAACTGTTCTCTGGGACCTAATCTAATCTGTAAAGTAACCTTAGAAAAAATTAGAGATGATATTTATGTGGCTCCTGGTTAGTCTGAAATACATGGCATTATCAATTAACACCCCCCCCTTTTTTTATCTGTGCTGGGTATTGAACCTACAATCTACATATGCTAAATGTGTGCTCTACCACAGAGCTATATATACCCTCAGCCCTAAGAAGCTCTCACCTTAATCTATTATTATTATTTCTTTGTATGCATGTGATATGTGTGTGTGTAGTAGTGCATAAGCCCATTTGTGGGGCACAGGCACATGTGGAGAACAGAGGAGGACACCGGGCATCTTACCCTACCACTCTGTCTGTTTTCTTGAGACAGGGTCTCTCACAACCTGGAACTTGTTGTCTTTTTTTTTTTTTTTTTAAGCTAGGCTGACTGAGCAGCAAGTCCCAGCAATCCTCCTATCTCCAACAACTTGGGACACAGATAAAGACCATGCATATCTGGCCACACCCAGCTTTTTTCTTTTTTTCCTTTTTTTTTTACATGAATTCTGGGGATCCAAGCTCAGTTTTGCTTGTCACACAGCAAGCGCCCTTACCCACAGAGTCATCTCACTGGTCCTGTTATTTTTCTTTAAAAACAAATGTTTTTTAGGAGCTGGAATACTGACTCAGCAGTCAAGAGCCCTGGTTCCTCTTCCAGAGGACCCCGGGTCACCAACATGGCAGCTCACAGGCATCTGTAACTTAATTCCAAGAATCAAACTCCCTTTTCTGACCTCCCATCTTCAAACCAAAAATCTGAGTGTGATGATATATACTTGTAAACCCAAAGAAGGCGCGAAAACTTAAAGCAATGGTCCCATTTGGGAACTGGAGAACATTTTGGTGTGGAAAAGCAGCGTTCTTGAGGGGAGATGGGTAGTAAGGAAGTTGAGCGGAGATGGGCCATGGTCCAGTCCATGGAAAGCCTCGACAGCCATCCCCAGTGTCACAGATCAAGATGGACACTGGAAGCTTTCAAAGAAGAACAGCTCATGGACTCACCTGACCTTTGATTACTCTGGTGACTGCTGAGGGCACAGAGCCGAAGGAGCCCAGCTGGAGGCTGTTGCAGTTGGTCTGAGCAGAAGAGAAAGCCTGAAGGAGGCAGTGACCTTGGGGTGGCTGGAGCAGAAAGTGATCTGGGGGTCCTCCGCAGCAACTGTAAAGGGCTTAGGAGAGAAGGTATAAGAGCCAATGGCGTTCTGGCTTAAACATTTAATATTTTAAAGGATGCTCAATTGTGTCGAATGCACCTGTGTCAGGGAACCTATGGATTTTTGATTTTGATTTTGTCTTTTTTTTTGAGAGGGTTTCTCTGTGTAGTCCTGGCTGTCCTGGAACTTGCTCTGTAGACCAGGCTGACCTTGAACTCAGACATCTGCCTGCCTCTGCCTCCTAGTTATCAGGATTAAAGGTGTGCACCACCACTGCCCAGGTGAACATAGGATTCAAAAGTGACCATGGGATAATGGAATGCAGTGAGAGAGTGGAGAGAGAGAGAGAGACAGAGACAGACAGAGACAAAGACAGACAGAGAATGACACTAATGGGTTGGGGATCACAGGCCAGGCAAGCTTCCTTTCTAGCTCAGATAGAAGATGAAGGAAGAATCTTCTGTTTGGTTGGGTTGATTTAGTTTGATTTTTGGGTTAGGATCCCACTTTGTTGCCCAGGGTAGCCTTACACATCTTGGGATCCTCAAGCTTCTGCTCCCCAGGTTCTGGATCACAGGACTGTGTATCACACACAGCTGTAGTTTGTTCTCTTTTGGCTTTATGTATCTTATTCTATGTGTCTAAGTGTTTGCCTGCATGTTTATCCCTTTACCTCATGCATGTCTGGTGTCACAGAGGTCAGAAGAAGCCATTGGAGGCCCTGGAACCGGAGTTACAAACAGTTGTGAGCCACCATAGGGATGCTGTAATCAAACCCAGAGCCTCTACAAGAGCATCAAGTGCTCTTAGCTGCTGAGCCATTGCTCCAGCTTCTCCAGCTTCTCCAGCTTCTCCAGCTTCTCCAGCTTCTTCTCCAGCTCCTAGACTCAGTTCTTAAAACAGAGAACAGCAGGGGCTGGAGAGATGGCTCAGTGGTTAAGAGCACTGACTGACTGCACTTCCAGAGGTCCTGAGTTCAAATCCCAGCAACCACATGGTGGCTCACAACCATCTGTAATGAGATCTGATGCCCTCTTCTGGTGTGTCTAAAGACAGCTACAGTGTATTCATATATAATAAATAAATAAATCTTTAAAAAAAAAAAACAGAGAACAGGCAGGGCTCCTTTGCATGTTGGCTGTGTAACCAGCCTGTGTCTTCATCTAGAAAATATAATTTTTTAATGGCTTTTTAACCCTCGTAGGGAAGTGGTGAAGGTTAGCTTTCTCTCCTAACAATCACCTCCCCTGCTCAAGAGAAACATGGGCAGTTCCTACTGTGTGATGTGGCATACTGTTAACAATTATTTCTTTTTTTTTTTTTTATTGGATGATTTATTTACATTTCCTATGTTGTCCCCTTACCCCATCCCCCACCACCCCCTCGGAACCCCCAATCCCCTCGCCCCTCCTCCTTCTTCTCTGTGGATGTAACCTCTATCTACACCCCCCCCACTCCCACCTCCCCACCCTCAAAATTCCCACCCCCTGGGGCATCCAGCCTTCATGAGGTCAAGGTTCTCTTCTTCCACCTATGCCCAGCAGGGCCCTCCACTTTTACATATTCAGCTGAAGCCCTGGATCCCCCCCTAAGTGCTCCCAGGCTGGTGGTTTAGACCCTGGGAGCTGTGGTTGGTTGGTATTGTTGCTCTCCTCATGGTGCCACAAACCCTTTCAGCTCCTTCAGTCTTCACTCTAACTCCTCCATTGAGAACCCCATGATCAGTTCAATGGCTAGTTGTGAGCATCTGCCTCTGAATATGTCTGACTCTTGAAGGCCTCTGAGGAGATATCCATATCAGGCTCTTATCAGCATGCACTTCCTGTCTTCCACATCAGCATCTACCTTTGGTGATTGCACATGGGATAGATACTCAGGTGGGGTGGTCTTGAGACGGCCCCTCCTTCAGTTTCTGTCCCTCACTTTGTCTCCATATTTGCTCCCTTGAGTATTTTGTTGCTCCTTCTAAGAAGGACTGAATCACCCTCACTTGGTCTTCCTTCTTTATGGGCTTCATGTGGCCTGTGAGTTGCATCTTGGGCATTTCAAGGTTCTAGGCTAATATCCAATAATCAGTGAGTGAATACCATGTGTCTTCTTTTGTGATTGGCTTACCTCACTCAGGATGATAATTTCTAGTTCCATCCATTTACCTAGGAAACTCTCGAATTCATTGTTTTTAATAGCTGAGTAATACTCCATTGTGTAAATATACCACATTTTTTGAATCCATTCCTCAGTTGAAGGACATCTGGGTTCTTTCCAGCTCCTGGCTATTATAAATAAGGCTGCTATGAACATAGTTGAGCATATGTCCTTATTATATGTTCGAGCATCTTCTGGGTATATGCCTAGGAGTGGTATAGCTGGATCCTCGGGTAATGCTATGTCCAATTTTCTGAGGAACCGCCAGACTGATTTCCAAAGTGGTTGCACCATCTTGCAGTCCCACCAACAATGGAGGAGTGTTCCTCTTTCTCCACACCCTCGCCAGCATCTACTATCACCTGAGTTTTTAATCTTAGCCATTCTGACTGGTGTGAGATGGAATCTCAGGGTTGTTTTGATTTGCATTTCCCTGACGACTAAGGATGCTGAACATTTCTTTAGATGCTTCTCGGCCATTCGAGTTTCTTCCGTTGAAAATTCTTTGTTAAGCTCTATACCCCATTAGAATTGAAGACCCAGAAATGAACCCACACTCCTATGGTCACTTGATCTTTGACAAAGGAGCTAAAACTGTCCAGTGGAAAAAGGACAGCATTTTCAACAAATGGTGCTGGTTCAACTGGAAGACAACATGTAGAAGAATGAAAATTGATCCATTCTTATCCCCTTGTACAAAGCTCAAGTCTATGTGGATAAAGGACCTCCACATAAAACCAGATACACTGAAACTAATAGAAGAGAAGGTGGGGAAAAGCCTCGAATACTTGGGCACAGGGGAAAAGTTCCTGAACAGAACTCCAATGGCATATGCTCTAAGATCGAGAATTGACAAATGGGACTTCATAAAATTGCAAAGTTTCTGTAAGGCAAAGGACACTGTCAATAGGACAAAACGACAACCAACAAATTGGGAAAAGATCTTTACCAATCCTTCATCTGATAGAGGGCTAATATCCAATATATACAAAGAACTCAAGAAATTAGACTCCAGACAACCAAATTACCCTATTAAAAAATGGGGTATAGAGCTTAACAAAGAATTTTCAACGGAAGAAACAATTATTTCTTGTATGAAGCCCATGAATACAGTGAGGTGCTCAGGTCGTCAACAGAGAAGTTGACTATGGGTGTGATGCTGGCAGGGGGGATGGGACGCAGGAGGAAGCTACCTCAGATTGCTGTTTTTCAGGCTCCAAGGAGATGTCACCTGACCGCCAAGGTTTGAACACACCAATTACGATGGAGGTGCCAGGGGTAAGCTCTCCCAGACAGAATTCATCCTCGAACACAGGGCTGGAAAGCAATGAGAGGCAGACTGTGGGTCCCAGATGTCTCCCCCAGAAACAGTTCATGACCACAGTGACTGCTAGCAACATTCCAGGCAGCCCCGAAGAGGCCTCTGTCCCCATCCCTAACCCACATGGACCAGTTCCATAAACATCCAATAAATGTCTTTGCATCATTCCTTCTGGAGTCTCTTTTTTGGTGAGAAGGTAGGGGTGGGAATGGCCAAAGAGACTTCGGAGCCTAATGGGATAAATGAGGGCTTTCCCCAACAAAAGCACCAAGGTCTTGTTATGGACCCAGCTGTCTTGCTCAGCCTGGGGAACTTAGGACCAAAAGAAGTTGGACATGAGTCACACCAGGAACAGGGTTACTAGTAACAACACACAATCCAGAAACCTGAGGTAGTGGAGTCTCAGAGAAGTCCTTCTTCCGATAAGTCCTGACTTGTTTTTATGTGGTTTCTCTGCTCCAGTGTAGATGTATGTAATAGTTCCTGGGATGGGAATCTGTACTCAGAGGGGTAGATTTACTTGTCCATCCCTCCTCCTGTCCTGGAGTGAGCCCCTGATAAGGTACACAGTGAGAAGGAGTACAGCACAGGCCCCACCATCAGAGTTTCACAGTGGATAAAAGAATGAATGAGTGGCCAGGCAGTGGTGGCGCACAACTTTTATCCTGGCACTTGGGAGGCATACACAGGTAGATCTCTCTGAGTTCAAGGTCAGCCTGGTCTACAGTCCAGTTGTAGGACAGCCAGGGCTACACACACACAAAAAAAAAACCTGTCTTCACAACAAAACAAAAGGATGAATGCATGAGGGCGGGTAAAATGGCTTAGCAAATAAAAGAGCTTATAGGCAAGTGTGAGTTTGGTCCCTGGAATTTACATGATAAAAGGAGAGGACAGACTCCTCTAAATTGATGTCTGACTTCCACATGTACATGTGTGTATGTATGTATATATAATTTTATATTTTTAAGTAAGTAAGTGAGAAAAAGAATGATTATCACACCAAATACAGGTCCCACAGAGTAGACTGGACCACTTAACCCAAGTGGCCTGAACAGTCACTAAATCTTCCTGTTTCTCTGTTTTCTTGCTAGGTTATTGTAAGTGTTTTAAAAAGTGATCAATTTAAGCTGAGCTGGGTGGTGTAGAGCTGTCATTTAAGCTACTTAGGGTGCTTAAACAGGAGGGCCACAAGTCATGAGAACCTGTTTCAAAACAAAAGGGAAAAATAAAAAAAGTCTCAATGGGGGCAGAAGATGGTATTTAAAATAAACAGCAACAATAAAAACACTTTGCAATTATTATTGTTGTCTTAAAAATAAGAAACAAAAACTGAGAATGACACCTGAAGTCTATCCTGGAACTTACAATGTAGGCCGGGCTGGCCTTGAACTCACAGAGATCTGCCTACCTCTGTGCTGGGATTAAATGTATGGGTACACTACCAGGTTCAAAACGTTAAAATTCCAGATAAGGAGGCTGGAGAGATGGCTCAGTAGTTCATGTATTGCTCTTGCTAAGGAACAGCTCACAGTTAGCTTCAGCTCCCGAGATACAGTCAGTACCTTCTTCTAGCCTCCTTTGACACTACACTTATGTACACAAACCCACACACTGACACAGTCATACATACATACACATATAGCTAAAATTAAAAATAGAGAGGCATACAGATCTATAGGAGTTCAAATTCAGCTTGACTTACATAACAAGATCCAGTAAGCCAGAGCTACATAGTAAGACCCTGCCTCAAACAGATGATAGATAGATAGATAGATAGATAGATAGATAGATAGATAGATAGGGATCACAGAGCTGGCTCAGTGGTTAAGAGTACTTGTTGATCTTCAAAGGACCTGGGTTCAAGGCCCAGCACCCAGATGGTGGGTTACAAGCATCTGTACCTCCCATTCCACAGGATCTTATGCACTCTTTTGACATCTGCAGGCATCAAGCATACATATGGTACATACATATACGTGCAAGCAAAATATTCACACATAAAATAAGATGACTAAATCAAATGGGTTCCACCAGAAATTGGGATGCAGAGGCAGGTGGATCTCTGTGAGTTTAAAGTCTGGACCAGGCAGTGGTGGCGCACGCCTTTAGTCCCAGCACTTGGGAGGCAGAGGCAGGTGGATTTCTGAGTTCAAGGCCAGCCTGGTCTACAGAGTGAGTTCCAAGACAGCCAGGGCTATACAGAGAAACCCTGTCTTGAAAAACAAAAACAAACAAACAAACAGTCAGTCTGGTTTACATAGTAACTTCCAGGACAGCCAGAGCTATGCAGAGACTATCTCAAAACAAAACAAAACAATAACCAAATAGACCCAGAGAAATGGCTCAGTAGTTGAGAGTACTTCCTGCTTTTTCAGAGAACCTGAGTTCCATTCCCAGAACTCACATCTAAAACCAGCATGCAACTCCAGTTCCAGAGGACCTGACAGCCTCTTTTGGCTTCCTCAAACATCTGTACATACATACACATAAATACAATAAGCCTTTAAAAGTATATATACATACGTGTGAAATAAATAAAATTCTACATGGATATGCTTTAATGTAATATGTTCATTTTATAAACAGTGATGACAGAAGCCAAATGTCTAGTTACAATCCTGACTCCGCCACTTGCTAGGTAACCTGTGCCTCAGTTTCTCTTATGAGCAGGGAAAATAGTAATCACTTGTTCCTCAAGCTTAGGGGAAGATATTTACTCCAAAAAATATATTAGAAATGGAGAAAGTGCCCTAAATAAACTATTAGTATTATTCATTTGTCACGAACATTTTGGTTCTATTATTAGTGTACAGCCCGGGAAGCTGCAGGCGTGTGGGTCAGGCACCGCCGCCCCTCTCTCCTGCCTTTCACAGAGGCTTTTGCTGTGCCTGGGAGTGCAAAGCAGATCAGGGAGACCCTGCAGATACTGAAAACTGCTCTTGACATTTCACCATGGCACGACCTGGTGCTGGTTTTGGCAACAGTGAGACATCATGTCATTCTTAGACATCTGTGCCCAGGTCCCTAGCCAGCCAGCAAAAGGCACATGATGAAGTGGAACATGTCCAAGACTGGGAGTCAGGAGGCGTTGTTTGTCCTTTTTTCCCTCCTTGGTAGGGCTGGGAGGGTAGGAAGTGGGGAGGGTAGGAAGTGGGGGGGGGGTTGGTGTGAGGGGTGGTATTTTCAGCACACTGAATATAACATCTGTGTCTACTAAACATATACTCCGTGGTGTCTATACCAAACCAAGACCTGTGCAATTGCCATAAACAAAGGGCAGTCCTGCTGTTAGAGGGGCTCAGTCTGAGGTAGACACACAGAAAAGGCAATGGGTCTTCTGGTTGTCCCCTTGCTACAGGAGGGAGCAGGGATGTCTTTGATGAGTCAGCTCCAGGTCAGACAGACTCTGAGGACAATATAGACAGAGTACAGCCTGTTCAAAGGCTGTGCAGAAAGCCCAGTGTGGCCCAGGAACTGCAAGCTATTACAGAGAACACCACAGTGGAGTATGGGATGTGTATGTGTGTGGATATGTGTGTGAGAGTTTGTGTGGTGTGCCTGTGTGTGTGTGTGTTTGTGTTTGTGTGTGTGTGTGTAGATGTAGAGGGTGGGTGACAGTGTAGTCACTGACACTGGGTTATGATATTATTTACAGGACAGATTTTCTCTGTCCTTGATAACCTCATCAGTAAAGTTCTTTTTTTTCTCTGACCGTTTACTACAGCAGGACAATCTGCTAATGCCTGTCTGGCTGTTCACAGAGAGGGAGAGACAGTTGCAAATCCTAAGAATGCAGGAGGCGGGGTGGGGGTCTTCTCATTAGTCTGGAGCAAGAGTTCTCAAGTTTCTGGTTACATCAGAATCAGCTATGGGTTTTGGTTTGGTTTTGGTGCCGAGGGTGGAACCCAAGCGTCACTCAGGAGAGGTAAGCACCCTTACAACAAGCTGCCCCCCACCCCCAACATTTTTTGTACTCTATCTTGAGACAGGGACTCTCTCCATTTTCCAGGCAAGCCTTGAATTTGTGACCCTCCTGCCTGGACTTCCTGTGTAGCTAGAATTACAGACCTGCGCCAGCAGGAGCCCGCATGAGGGCTTATAAACAAAGAACAGTTTGCTGTTTCTTACTCCTCACCCCAGCCTAAGTCAGTCGGGCTGAAGTGAGTCCCCCAGATTTGCATGTTTAACAAGTTCCAGCTGCTGCTGCTGCAGCTACTCTGGGACCTCCCTCACAGCACAAGTGGCCCTGAAGAACAAAGACAAGCTTTGTGGACTCTGGTCACAGAGGTCAGAGACCCCACACAGAGCAGAGCCCAAGAACCTGGTAGAATTTGTTCCCCAGGACCCCATGTATACGGAGTGGATGCCAGTGGACCAGAGTGAGGAGCTGCCTATAAATCCCAGGCAGCACAGATTCCACCCCAGCCCAGTTCAGCTTTGCTGGTTTGAATTTGTTCACCCTGAGTAGATTTTCACTGGTGTTGGCTGGTCAAAGTCCGGCGTTAGAAACTAACTGCCCACCCTGTGAGACAGGCTCCCCTCCCCCAGGGCACAGACAGGGAGAACGCCCTGTGAGCTGAAGCACAAACACAAACAGTCTGAGCTCACTGGGGCTGCCAGGTTCACATCGACCAGCAATTATTTCTTGTAAATTGCTTTCCGGGTTATGTTCAGAACATGTTCGTGTGACTCCCTAAGAACAAACACTCAGAGGACAGAGGGCGGGGGTGGCTAGCTGGGGAGTGGGCTGCTTATGAAGGGGGGGGGCTTAGTCTGGATCTTCAGCCAAATTTTAGAGATTGTTGAATAATGGAACTTAGAAACACTAGAATCTTGCATTTCCCTCCATAGCATCCTGCCAAATGGTAGTCTATCCCCTTTTTCAAACATCCACTTGTCTGTCTGTCTGTCTGTCTCTCTGTAAGAAGCTTGTCACAAGGGTGGAGAGATGGCTCATGCATTAAGAACATTGGCTGCTCTTCCAGAGGACACAGGTTCTATTCCCAGTACCCACATGGTGGCTTACAAGTGTCCATAACTCCAGTCCCAGGGCATCCAATGGCCCTTTCCAGCATCACATGCACACATGTGATGCACAAATATACATGAAGGCAAAACAACCACACATATAACATAAATCTTTTTAAAAGCAGC